TTGACGCTTCTCCGAAGGGATAGCTCTGAGGGATCCCAGGGATATATGGAGATTGCAAGGACTTTGGGGAGTCATAGTCCAGGACCCTCCTTGTACCCTTAATTAGGGGTATATGGTCCCNNTCCCTAATAGTGGGTATTTAGGGATATATAGAGGGTAGATGGAGGATCTAGGGTAGTTCCAAAAAGGATTGTGTTGAAAAAGCACATGCATCAAGGACACCTCCAAGTGACAAGTTGCGAGATGGAGGGCTAAATCGACCCCACCGTCTGAGCTATAGTCTAAGCTCCAAGTATCCCCCTTAACAACCCCTGTAATATCTTCCTAGCCCTAGATAGCCCCCTATTAACCACACCCTTTAAGGAGTTTTCACTACAGCTCATCTAGTCCCAGTAAGCTTACATGAACCCTCTATGGATGTACCCACCTGAAACAGTTCTTAATCGGAGCCTGGAATAGCAGATTTGACATTGTTCTTCCTTGGACCCCTGAGTAATTGAAATAAGTACCCAAATGCAATGAAGATGACAACAAGGCCATTGTTCTACGTACCTCAGGGGGCTTCAAGAAAATTATCAAGTTAAGAACCTGCTTCTTGGGTTTTCAGCCGCAAAAGGCCCCTAAACCCTCTTTGCCTGAACCCTAAACCCTAGACCTCAAGCTCCAAAGTTTCAACAGGCAACTTTATCAGAGACAACCTTGACGGCACTAGCGTGTAGTGTTATGAGGTTTAGGGTTTAGGGTTTAGCGTCTCCTCTACAGGAGCTCCTTCAACTGAATATTTCTGGCAAGTTCACAAAACCTAGGCCCCCCTCACACCCTGGCACTTTACAATCTTTGTAATCAGGAACCCCCTGAAATAGCCTAAAGATCCCCCAAATATCCCTAATTGTAAAGAAGTCCCTATATAACCCCCTAAACTCTGAACCCTTACACCCCTCGAACCCGATATCCTATGTAGCCCCTAAGGAGGCCCTATACATCACCCTAAACCCCTAAACCTTATAACCCTTAAAAACGAAACTCCTAAACCCTAAACTCCTAAACCCCTTAAACACCCGAAAGCCCAAACCCCCTTAAACCCTAAACCCAAAACCCCCCTAAACCCCGCAAGGTACCTGGCAAAGTCTGGCACATTCTCGAGCAGAAATGCTTTTGGAGGCTGGGCCAGCTCGGGGAGGGCCTGGCAGGGACAGGGAGAGGGGCCTGCTACTAAGGATTAATAGAGTTTGGAGTTTAGGAGCTTTGGGTTTAGGAGCTTTGGGTGTAGGAGTTAAGGGATGTAGGGTGTAGGGTGTAGGAGTTTAGGATTTAGGGTTTAGGAGTGTAGGCATTGTGGTTACCCTCACCCCCCCGAAGCCAGAACTCCACAACGAAATGTACTTTGAGCGCGCTAGAGGATTCTTGGTTGCCCCGTTTTTCCGAACCCTGAAATGAGAGGACCACGTAAGAACCATATGATAATCATAGGGTCCCTATTTGAGGGGTTGGGTCGCCAAAAGCCCCACTACAGTAGTGAATGCATCCTTGAACGGGTGTCTGGCGGAGCTTGTGTAATCCACAGTCCGGGTACCCTGCAAAGCCTGGTCAAAGCACCAAACCTCCACGCACAATCCTAAAGCCCCAAACAGCATCCAACCCTTGTGCAGCTAGGGAGCTCCACTAATCCCTGGATCATCGTCAAACAGTCCCTACATGAGTCATTGCCTGAACTCCTAGTATCCCTCTTGAAAACAATTGCAATACTCCCCTATATAATCCCCTACAAGAACCCCCTTTAGGTTAAGATAAAGCCTACATTGTATAGCACGCTGAAACACCAAATCCGAAACTCCAACTGCTGGTCCTAAAGCCCTGGTTCCTGGGCAAATCCTAACATTTCAAATCCCTGACTTGTAGGGCTTTCCCAAAATTAGGGGTACCTTGTTGAGGGTCCATTCGGTGAGGATTATAGTAATTGGGGTCCCCCAGTTTATGGTATCCACCTTGTATATGCCCAAGAACAGCTACAGTTAAGGGTGAGCTTGTGTGAGCTGGCTGTAATTTGTCAACTTGTTCATACCTGAGGATTTAAAGGTTTCCCAAAATAAGGGGTACCTTCTTGGGGGGTCCCTATACTAAGGACTCCAGCAGTTGCAGGTCTGAATTGGGGTTCCTCCAGAACCCTGAACCTTAAACCCTAAACCTTAGACCCTATACCCCAGACCTTAAACCCTAAACCCTAGGATCCTAAGCCCCCAAACACAGGCGCCTCCAGCAATCGAATCAAGGCCTGACAGCGGGGATCATCGAGGTCCCTCTTCTTTCCCAAGCCTGATTTGGAACTAGGGTTTAAGGTTTAGGGTTTGGGGTCAAGGGTTTAGGGTGTAGGGTTTGGACCCTAAACCCTAAACCCTAAACTTGGGGTTTAGGGTGTTGGGTTTAAGGCTTAGGGTTTAGGACTTGGAGTTGAAGCTTCAGGGTTGAAGGCTTTGGGCTGAAGGTGCATACAGGAATGATCCCTTGGTTTCAGCTTGAGTGATGCTCTCTGACAAGCAGAAAGAAGGTTCTTAGCTTCATAGATTGTAGTTTCAGGTTCTACACGTATGGTTCTATCAGTAGGGTGCACCCCTTGTAGAAAGCTTATACTAAAACAAGCCACTAGCAACTTGGAATTCCCGTCTTTAGTTTTATGGGAACTCGGCTTGATGCTTCTAAACCCTAGGTTTGGGCAGGCCAGCGTCGTTCTTGGACCCCAAGTTGGTAAAGTAAAGGGTTTGGGGTTTAGGGCCCCCAAAACCCGGCTAAATGGTCAAAAAAACATATTCTACCTAATGTTGGACCCTCTTTATTATAGGGGGCCGCAATAATGAAATCTTTCGGGGAAATTATTCAGGATTTGGTATTGTTTGAAGGGTCCGGAATAATGAAATTTTCTGGGGCCCAAAATTGAAAAATAGCAAAAGATATGACCTAAGTTGCTTTAGTTTTACCTCAGCAAAGCTCAGCAGAAACAGCCTGCAGGCTCTGTCTGACTCAGCTTTATAGATTCTAGGGGTCCGTATGATTTTAATTGCGCGGCAAATTTGGGGTGGGGGGCCGAAATATTAAAGGGGAACGGTAATTGTTTAGGGCGGGGGGGACCCCCTATATTAAAGAGGGTCCCACGTGACTTTGGGTTCAGGTATGGTTTTAGGGTGAGGCTTACAAGGAATCACTTAATACGAAGTTCTCCACACCTTGGTTCCCTAGGAACCCCTTTCACAGGCACCCAAAAATTGACTCGACATTGCACCGCACGGGGTTCACATATAACCCAAAAACTTACTTCACAAGGACCTTTCCAAAAATGGGGGCTTGCGACTCACCCCAAAACTGTTATCTACTGTCATCCCTGTTATAGGAACACCCCATAGGTCACTCCTCTCTTTTAGCAACTCTACACTCTAAACCTGACTCAAACATGGGCTTTCCTAACGAAACAAGTCTATGGCTTGGGTCAATCCCCCACCTAGTAATGGGTACCACAAGGGACTCTTGTAGGTATATTAGGGCCCTAGTAACTCCATATTAAGGAGCCATTACTATAGGGGGGATTGACCTAATCTATGGCCCCAAAAATCTTCTGGAAGGAAGCCCAAGTCTAGAAAGAAGCAGAGGCCCGCAGTCACTTTAGTACCCTATTGCTACATCTCTAAGGGATTTGGAACCTCAGTAGAAATTATAATTTCAGCTAAATATTAGGATTGTTGGTAACAGGAAATAATAATTATTTTCAGGAACCTTGTAGATATAACCTGGACCTAAAGTAGGTCAAACCATGGCCCACAAAACACCAGACATGCTCAACAAATCCCGCCAACTTGAATCATTTGAAGGATCCCTCACAAGGGGGATCTGCTTTCTAGATCCCCCACCCTAAAACCTAAACCCTAAACCCCTAAACCCTAACACCCTAAACCCTGGCTTAGGTCATATCGGCCCAAGACGCGAGTGAAAGGCTGACATGGTGGGCTCATTAGCCATAGATCTCCACCTTGTCGCTCTTCAGGGTTGGGTTTATGGTAGGGTTTAGGGTTTAGGGTTTAGGGTCTATGGATTCCCCTACCACTCCCCCTTGATCCCCTTTACTACCCCCTCCTCAATAAAGGTCATTTAATGATAGCTGGGGATAAGTAAAGATAATTAAGGTAATCACTTTCAGGGTGAACCCAGGGGTCAGTATAGCTGGGGCAGTAGGGGACTCCAGAATCTTATGCGAAAGGGATTCTCGGCATGAGGTTTTCAGTCTAGATAAGCTTGCTACGACACGCTGGTGTTATCTAGTAGCGTCACTATACAACACCATAGTATACCGTTTTGCTATACAATGGGCTTTCCCTACGTACCTGGGCTTTAGTCAGAGTTAAAATGTTTTAGCAAGTTTAATGTAGCGGTCTTAGGGACTCGCACTTCCAGGCTTTTGCGCGTTGTAAGCCTAATTGCGAGAAATGCCCGCATACACGGCCTGAAAAACCAAAATGTGGCTTTTGGAGACAAGCAAATCAGTGTAAAGATCCCTACTTGAAGATCAGTGGACTTAGTAAGCTAGTTGTAAATTACACTATAATTGACAAGTCCCCGAACTGTAGCTAGGCTGCTTATAATAACTCCCGAATAACCTGCTTCCTAAGTTCCGTGAGCCACGAAGTGATCCTAAGCCCAATCTCAAAGCAACCCTAAGCCCTGACCCCAAACCCTAAATCTTAACCCTAAACC